CCAAACCAAATAATAAGAAATTTATTTAATTAATCTTATTGCAAGCATTCCACTGTCAGAAAGAACTTTTTTGCTTAATAAAAATCTATTGTCTATGAATACAATGACTATGTGATAAATAAATCCTACATAGCTAACAGAGAAATTAACTGTAAGTAATAAAATATGTATTCTCCATCCTAATCCCCTAACAAGCTACTAGAAAAACAGGCAGACAACTGAAACCCAATACGCAGAGCCTTGGAGTGATAAGGGAACAGAGCAGCATACCCCAGCAACCTGGCAGGTGAGCAGTCCACTGCCACCTGGAGCCACCATCCCAGCCACCTTCCCCAGACCAACACTGTCCATGACTGAGAATCAACCTGTCCTTGATCACAGAATAATAGTATGAATCATGGGATTTTAAGGACATTCTAACAGTGGCTTTCATTTACCTTATTTCTCTAAAATGCTAGGAGTACCTGAGAAGTATTTATTCTCACATGCAACACGCTGCTCAGAAAAAAGATTTCTGAATGTGAAGAACCTTGGTGTAAACATGTATCAGATTATCTTGACTCCATTCTTGTCATTCCTGATTGTAGATGTAGCTTTGGGCTTTAAAAATTCACATACTCATTAACTGGCGAGTAACAGGACTATTTTATATCAACTCAAAAGTTGATGCTTTAAAAGAAGGAGGTCTAAGGTACATACTCCATATGGATAAACCAAGAAACCTGAAACACTAGAGCAATGACACTCCAAGTCCCCAGACCAGAGTCAGCATCACCTGGACACGTCCTAGAAATGCAAGTTCTCAGAGCCCACTCTAGACCTAAGGAATCAGGCACTCTGGGGAGGGGCCCAGAAACCTGCAGGTGACACTGAGGTAAGCTGTTATCTATCATATTCCCTCTCATCCTTCTACCAAAAAATTTCTAAGAAAGAATCCACTCCATCTGCACTTCCCTCATAACCCTCAACTTCTAGACCCCCTGTGCTCTGGCTACCTCCTTCTGTGACCTCGCTAAAATGCTTTTTTTTAAAGTCACAAATCATCTCTAGCCTAACTGCCAAAGCCAGTGACCTTTTTCTGGTCCTCATTCCCCTAGACTCACTTGAAATGGCACAATTTCTTGACTTTCATAACACAATTTCACCCCCTACCCCTCCACCTCCTCCATGCCTATCATCAGCCCTACTCTTCCTCCTCCCACCCTCGAACTACGGGCATGTCCCCAAGGTTTGATCTTCAGTCTTCTACCTCTCTCTCTCCAGCTGCTCCTCGGCCTCTCGAGGACTCCATGAGCTGAATTTACACCTCTGCATCCCCAATCTCTCTCAAATCTCACAACATATTTTAAACTACCTCATGATCTGCTTCATCTGAATGTCCTTCAAGTACTGCCAGTAAAATGTCGCCCAAAGGGAATTCCCCACTTGCCCTACCCGACTCCAACAGTCCCTCCTTGAACGCCTGCTTCCCGTATGGTCCCATCAACTGTCTGGCCCCCTGAGCACCACGCATCAGCTGTCCCTCTTCCCTGGTGACCCCATCTGGTGTGCACAGGAGTGAGCCCCACCAGGCACCCTGTTCACCCTCCTCCCCCCATTTCTTATGCCACCTTCCTCCTCCAATAACCTCCTGTCTTTTCTCAAGCCCTGTCTCTAGACTCTTACCTCTAAAACTCATCTCTGAACATATTTCGGCCCTGTTTGACATGTGCTGAGGCTGCCCAGACACAGCCCAGCCTCACCTCCCATTTCTCCTCCAGGCTCCCTCCGCTCAGCTCATCTGGAATGCTCATCACGCTACAAGCACACCCCGCATTTTCTCACTTCTGCCTCTTGGCTTTATGTGATTACCTCCACTTCAACTGTCGGCTTCCCGCTATGTCTGTCAACATCCTCCCCATACTTCCAGACCAGAGCCGGTGTCAACTCCTCCTTGACACCGTCCCTAATCCCCTCAAAGGAAACTTCTCTCACTCTCCTCTAAAGATTTAAAGGCATTTACACAAGTCGCCCCAACTGGAGTTGACACCCTCCGCAGGAGGAGAGTTTACGCATCTTTCTGTCCTCTACTTTAACATGCACGATACCCTGGATGAGGTATGCGCTCAACAGACATTTGCTGAAGGGTTATATGACCTAACAAACCAAAGTCCTTATTTAATTGGGCATTATTCCTGCCAGTTAACTGACCTTTCAGAGAAGCAGCCAAAATACAATAAAAACAGACAACTTCACATACATAGCAACTTAGAAGGAATCGACTGGATCTCATGTGCTTTCTATCATCTACTGTGCAACCACTCCAGAATAACTAATCATCATTATGCTCACTACAGCTAAGGAAAATACAACATTTTTTTTGAACCACAAAAACTTTTTGGAGAAAGGAAAGGACTGGTTCATTTAATACTAAAATGACAGGGGGAAGGCCTTCCATAAATAAANACTTCACATACATAGCAACTTAGAAGGAATCGACTGGATCTCATGTGCTTTCTATCATCTACTGTGCAACCACTCCAGAATAACTAATCATCATTATGCTCACTACAGCTAAGGAAAATACAACATTTTTTTTGAACCACAAAAACTTTTTGGAGAAAGGAAAGGACTGGTTCATTTAATACTAAAATGACAGGGGGAAGGCCTTCCATAAATAAACTTTTATAAAATTTCCTGCATCTTACCACCATGCCAGTTTACAGCTTCTAGAAGTGATAAACTATCTATGATCACAAAGGAAACTTCTTAATCTAACAGAAATTGAATAACAGAGCATTCTTCCAAAATATTGTTTTGTCTGCAAGATACTCTTCATGGCTGGTCGGGAAGGTCAAGAAGCAGCCAGATGAATTATAATGTGGAAGATAGACTGACTGCCTCAATTAGGGAAAAAGAAAAGTCCTCATTCCATGAAAGATAAAGCGAGTCACTACTTCTCTATAGGAAAGAGGGGGGATAATCTCTCAAGCACAGTACACATAAGAGACCCTTTCAAAACGGGAAAACACACTGAGAATCATTTAGGAAAAACAGCTCTGCTCTAACCTAAAGACTTTAATCACTTCCACAGACCAAATTTTAAGCCTGGATATAAAACAGAATCATCATAGATTAAGAAAGGAACTTTTTTTTCCTAAACAGCACAGGCAGATAAGAGGTGTCTTTATTGATCAACATGTAGTCATCCTTCAAGGTTAACATTTTAGAGAAAAAGGTATTAAGAGGATTGACATTCAGTTTTTCAATTTGCTATCAATTAGAAGACTGGGTTTATCACTATGTTTCTTTTAATATGTTCTCCACCTAGTTTCATTTGACATGTTTCATAATTTCTTCCTTAAATTAGCAAAGGTATATAAAACAGGCATTTGACTTCCATTGTATGCAAAGTTGAGGATATGGAGAAACAGCAAATCACCTTAAATAATAAGACTATTCATCCGAAATAAGACTATTGTATTTGTCATTAAACAGCAAAAATGACCATTTC